GACCGATGTGTGCCCGTCTCTGAGCTGGGCACTGCCAGCTGTGGTGAGCAGCTGCAGGGGACAGAGCAGGCCTGGCCAGCACCAGAGTCAGGGCCCATCCGTCCCCGCCCTGGCCCCACCAGAGTGAAGTTAAAGGGCCCGTAAGTCTAACTTCCTGCGGACTGGTGGGGGGCTGAGGCGCTGGGGGAAGGTGCAGGGCAGGGAAGAGAAGCTGGGAAGAGAGGCCCAGGGGCCCAGGGACCCCCGCAGGAAGACAGCTCCCATAAGGCTGTCCTTTGTTCCGCACAACAGCTTGGAGGCAAATGGGAAGTCGGCACCAAACTGCAAATATCTTTCCAAACACCCTCACAGCCCCGTGAATGGCTGTGACACCCGCTTACAAACTGGGAACGCTCAGCCCTCACAGCTGGGCCCCAATTCCAGGAACATTAATCTCCCCTGGCCCGAAACCCACACAGATGTTTGCTCCCCTCCCAGGGCTGAGGGAAGGGGCTGGGAGAACCAAGAATGCGGTCTTGCCACAGGCCCAGGAATGCCTAATTACAGCCCTGTCAGGCTTCTCCGAGGAGAAACGGAAAGCAAAAACCTCAGACGTCAGCCATTTGCCCCCTGGAAGCCATAACCTGCCAGGGAAAGTAATACCTCGGTGTGAATTAATTTATGACAGGAGTAGGGAAGGCTGGCGACATTAAGCAAAGAACAGCACCTCCCGGAAGAGGGAGGGGAGGAGACTGAGGGCCCCCGAAAGAGAGTTGACACCCGAGGGAGCTCACTGGGCAGGGGAACTCCAACCACAGACGTAAAAGGGACACAGCTCTTGGAAACAGCACAGGCGGGGCACAGGAGCTGGTCCCCGGCCTTCTCTTCCAGGCCTAAGGCTTGCAACAGCAGCTAAAGGCCGGTGGCAACTACAGTCCATGCCTACATGGGAGGGGGGCATAGGTTGGGGGGGTTAGAATGGACCCCCCGACAGATCGAAGCAAAACTCTGGCATCGCTGCCCGAAAGGCAAACTTAAAACGCCACACGAACGATGACGACAACCTCTGAGGAGGCAGATGGCACGACAGTAAAGGGTGCCAGGCCTGGAGCCAACTGTCCCAGATGAAATCCCGACGCTGTCACTAACTTGGGCAAATTACTAATTTCTCCGTGTCTTCATAATACGGGGGTCATGTTATCACATACTTTAGCTCGTGTTCTCGTGAAAATTAAAACGGTTAATACATGTAAAATGCTTAGCACGTTGCCCAACATGTAGTAAATACTAGATATGATGATGACGAGCGTGACAATGACGGGACAACAGTAGTAAGCCTTGGGGTGACTCCAGGACTCTGTGATGGAACAGTCATTGTGAGGCGTGACCAGAAAATCTGGATGCCTCCAGAGGGGAGTGGTGTGTGTAGGGCTTGGGATGGCAGATCGTCCGCATGAATGGTCACTTGGGTGAATCAGTGAGCACTTGCTCCTGCCAAGGACCAGCAGAGGGGCCAGTCCTTCTTCTGTCCCTGTCCCTGTGGTGCAGCCAGACTCTCCTTCCCTTGCCTTTTCCTGCACTCGTCCCTGCCTGTCCTCGCCTCTTTAGAGCTTCCCCCGCTCCCACCCCAGCCAACAGCATTTCCACTGGTGAATCCCTTCCAAACAAGTGTTTGTTGAGCACTAAAGATATGGCAGCCATCAAAACAAAACTGCCTGCCCTCGTGGAGTTTATAGTCTGGTAAGGGAGACAGACGATAAACAAGATAAAAAGGTAAATTATATAGGCTATTAGAAGGCAGTGAGTGTCGAGGAGAGAGATGTGCAGAGGGAGGAGGGAGGGTCAGGGGGAGTGTGAAGAAGGGTACAATTCAAAGTAAGGTGGAAAGGTGACGTGGGTAAGGTTTTGAAAGCAGCGAGGGAATGAGCCATGAGGATGTCTGCAGAAACAGCATTCCAGCTCTAAGGACCAGCATGTGCAAAGGCCCTGGGGTGCGGATCTAGTCAAGGACCCTGAGGCAGGAAAGGGTCAGGCGAGTTTGAGGAACAGCAAGGAGGCCCAGGTGTCTGAAGCTGAGTGAGCAAGGAAAAAATAGTCAGCGATGCGGGCGGGACATAGATGATGTAGAGCCTTACAGCCATTAAGGGCTTGGCTTTTACTCTGAGCTGGGATGGCATTGAGGGTTTTAAACAGAGGAGTGATATAATCAGACTTGCATATTTTTAAAGGACCCCTCTGATTGCTGTTTTAAGACTAGGCAATAAGGAGGCAAGGGTGGGACCCGGGAAAGCGGTTCAAAAACTACTGGAATAATCCAGGTGAGGGCTGATGGAGTGTTGGCCCAGGTGGTAGCACAGGCTGTGGGAAAACGTATTTGGACAGGAGAGCTGATGGGGTTTGCTGATGGATTGGCTATGGGATGTGAGAAAGGAGTCAAGCATGACTCCAAGTTTCTTGTCTGGTGTTGCCATTTCTTGAGATGAGGAAGGCTGTGGAGAGGTTGTTTTTTTGGGGGGCGGGGGGGAGCCTGGGAAGTTGAGTTTGGACCTGTGAGGTCTGAGATGTCCAGCAAAGTGTATGAGTCTGGAGTTCAGGACAGATCTATGAGTGGCTGGAGCTGTAAATATGGGAATATTCAGGAGGCTGAAGGTACCCAATACTGATCCTGGATGAGGGGACAGAGGAAAGGTCAAAGGACAGAGCTGGGAAACAGGAAAACAACACGCGATGGAGCAGCCAGCACGCTGGGCTAACCCAGGCGAGTGCAGATTTCCAGGTCTGCTCTATAGGAAGCGGGGAGATGGGGTGATAGCTGGAGGTGGGAGAAATAGATCTAAGGAGGATTTTTTTTTTTTAGGATGGGAGAAATAACTCTATATTTGTATGCTAATGGGAGTGATTCCGTAGAGGGGGAAATTGGTGAAGCAATATTTACACTAAATTGTATTTTGCTCTTGATGCTCAGAGCATGGGTGATTTTTGTTTTCTCCTTTGTGCTTTTTCCCTATTTTCCAAATTACCTTGCATGAATATTTATTAATTTTGTAATCAGAAAAAAAGCCATTAAAATCCACAGAGCTGATTGCTCAAGTGAAGCTTCTCCACCGTGACTCATCCTACAGGAAAAACAACCACCACCACCAAAGGGCTGAAAAGAGCGAGGAGGTGAGGAAAATTAAATGCAAATAGCGCTCACTCGGAATCAGATCGTTTCTTGCCTGGCCCACTGCAATTTCCTCACCGCCTTCCCTCCCGCCAGCCTCTCCCTGCTCCTGTCCCCAGCACAACATTGTCAGGCAGAGGGATTTTTCTTCAACGCCAATCTGATCATGTCAGAGACCTCCACCGGCTCCCCCACGGTTTTCGGGATAAAATCTTGACCTCTTCACCCCACCGAGGATGCCCTTTGTGATCTGGCTCGGCCTCATCGCCAATCTGGGGCCCCCTTCCCCTCCCAGGCCCCCCTTTCTGCTCTTCAGCCACACCGTAATTACCGCCTTTTCAGAGCGACTTGGGGCCTCTTGTACTCGCTCCCATAGCAACCTGCTCCACTCCCTCGGTGCACTCACCCACCCCATTGTAATCACCGATGCACTCCCTCGGCTCCCCGCCCCCACGGCACTCAGCTCCCCTGGATACAGCCCCAGTTCTCATCGTTGGGTTTCCAGCCCCTTGCCTGATACCCAGCACACAGTAGGCATCTATCTGTGTGCAGAATGAATGAACCCACCTCTTCTGTTCATGGGGGCATTGGGGGGGGCACCTCCTTCCTCAAAACTCTCCGGCGCCTCTGGCTCGAGTGAAAGCCAACCCCATGACTTTTCACGCCCAGCTCGGCCCAGTACGTCCAGCAAGCATCCCTTCTGTCCTTCCTTCTCACATCCACTAATTCAACTGACATTTATTAGGCCCCAGCTAGGTGGCAGGTCCTAGAGTAGGTGCTGGGTAAGGGGCAAGATCCTGGGCCTGGGAGGCCTCAGGGGAAGAGGGGTCTCTCTGGGCATCTTCTTCCTGCCCTGCTCATAGAGTAACTGGGCAGACAGTTGCTGAGGGCCCACTGTGCAGGAAACACTAAGCCGAAAACCGGGGCCCAGGAGATCCAGAAGACGGAGAAATCAGGCCTGTGCGTTAATAGCTGCAACATCAGACTGGGGGCCAGAAACCTGAGTGGTGCAAAGCCCTTCCCCTCCTGTTAGCGCCTCTGAGCTTTCCTCCTCCTGGACACCTTTCCCCATCACCACCACAAATCAACTCCACACCGCGGCTCCCCCACCCCCAGCTCCCTCTAAGCCAAAATCTGATCTCAAACCTGACAATCAGAGCTTGATGGGTTGCAGACAGAGCGAGTTGGTGAAAATCCTGCCTGGCTGGGTTAGGGCTGAGAGTTCAGGCATTTTACTGAAAAAGATTAAAAAGCGCCCCCCCCCTCCAGCCCCCACCTCTAGAGATTCCGGAGCTGGGGACTAGGGGGGAGGACCGGCTGCGAGGTGAAGACGACCAGCTTCAAAGGAGCCAGGGGGAGGCTCGGAGGTGCCTCTGGAGCTATTCCTGACGTGCAGAAATCAACAGAAACTTTTTAGAGACCTCTTCATATCTGTTTGCCAAATGCTGCGGGGTTTCCAGGATGGAGAAGGCAGGGAAATGCAAACTTCAAAATGCAGGCCTGGGCTACAATGAGAGCGGAGCGCCGTTCCCTTTGATGTGGTGGCCTCTCTTGTCTGTGGGAGTTTCCCCATTTTTGTTTGTGGGGATTTAATTAGAGAAATAGCCCACCCCCCACATGTTGAGCGGGAAACAGATGTGCCTGGTGAGGATGAAAGTCTTTGAATGGACCTAAGTGCCCCAGCCCTGCGCTTGCCTGGGAAAGGAATGCAGCCTAATGCGTTTATCCCCTGGCATGTGGTGTCAAGTGTGTGCGCGGCAGGAGGCTCCGTGTTCCCACACTCGGGCGGAGGGGGGATTAGCTGCAGCACAGCGTGGCTGGGAGAGAACCTCTGTGGGTGCAGCACAGCATCTGCAGAGGGGTGCCCCCAAAAGCGCTGGGGGAAGGAGGGTCCTGGGAATCTCCTTGAAGACAAAACAATTGAACTAGAACCCCACAGTGTTCAGAAAAGATGCTGTAAGGGGCAGAACCAGGGGGCATGGGGAGAAGAGGTGCCCAAGATGAAGTCTCCCCTCTCCTGACCCCAAGGGTGGGTCTGTACCCACTTCTGCCAAAGCTGCTCCTCTGGGATAATCCTGCCTGGGAGAGGGACCTAGTAATGAGAGCCCT